ACAATAATTTAATCATGAACAGATTAGAAAAAAAATACATGCAGTTTAATAGCAAGTGTTTTTATATATTTTGTATTTATTATGTTTCTTATGTATTTAAAAGATTAAACTAAATATTTTTTTTCAAATTACGTCAACATAAAACAACTTACAATCTTATTCAATTAAAAAGCAGTTATATTTAATTTAACACTGTTAATGAGAACAAATTACAACAAAGGATTAAATTCACGGTAATGTCTTTTCTTTTAGTGATACAGTTAGGAGAGTTTCGGTACATGTGCAAATTATAGATTCTTTACTTTTCACTTTTACTTTATTTATAAAGCGCAACAAAACAACAGTTGTTGACCATTATGCTGCACATACAGTTGAAGTCAGAATTATTAGCCCCCCTGAATTATTAACTCCCTGAATTATTAGCTCCCTAAATTATTAGCTCCCTGAATTATTAGCCCCCCTGTTTATTTATTTCCCCAATTTCTGTTAAATGGAGAGAAGATTTTATTCAACACGTTTCTAACCATAATAGTTTTAATAATTCATTTCTAATAACTGGTTTATTTTATCTTTGTCATGATGGCAGTAAATAATATTTTACTAGATATATTAAGACACTTCTATACAGCCTAAAGTGACATTGACAGGCTTAACTAGGTTCAACTGTAGACTATTGAAAAAAATATAGCTCAAAGGGGCTAATAATATTGTCCTTAAAATCATGTTTAAAAAATATAAACTGCTTTATTCTGGCCGAAGTAAGACAAATAAGACTTTCTCCAGAAGAAAACAATATTATCAGACATACTGTGAAAATGTCCTTGCTCTGTTAAACATCATCTGGAAAATATAAAAAAAACAAGAAAAGAAAATTCAAAGAGGGGCTAATAATTCTGACTTTTACTGTACCTTGGGTTAAAAATGATCAAAAGTAGACAAGATATAAAACAGCACACAGTACAACCAACATAACACAAAAAACATTGAATGCATACAGCAGAAACAAACATAGGCACAATCAGATCAGTTTCATCCCAATTAAAAACCTTTTTCTCAGAGAAGTAGTTTGAGTTTCTCTTTGAACAAGGACTCATTAGAGATTGCTCTAATACACATAGGTGCCTAGTCCACATTTTAAAACCTACTACAGAAGAAGGCCTGGTCTTCATTTTTCTTAAGCTTGGATCAGGGGACTTTTAACATTTTCTGGTTCGACAACCTTAAACATCTGCCAGATATTTTAACAGTAAAGAGATTAGAAAGATAACACTTTTTTTTCCCTTCAAGTTATCACTAATATTTATCTATTATTATAACTTCTATCAATTATCATTTTCTATCTATTTGTTTATTTTTTATGATTGTAAACATTCTATGTAAATGTTATTTGTATACTATGTTTATAAAAACTTTAATAAAAGCAGAGTTAAAAAGCAATTGCATTATAAAAGTCCAAGCGTGATGATATAAATGCATGAATTATTCTCTCGAAAAAAAGCCTTTCACTCTGGCTAATAATCTCAACTGGAAAAAAAACAAGATTTAATTACTGCATTTAGCTGTCTGTCAAATAGATGGGCAGAATCAAGGATAAAACCTAGATATCCGACAAATGGTTTAATGTAATCGGATAAATTGTCCAGCATTTGAGCCAGCTAATGGTTCAAAGACAATTGCCTCAGTCTTCTTCTCATTTAGTTAAAAAAAATTCTTTACATCCAAGCATTAACCTCTGACAGACAGGTTCATCACAAAAAATATTTAAGGTATATAAACACCAAGAAAAAAGTAATTTTAAGGCTAAACTTTTCAAGATATGCACAAATGTAAGCGACACATGTGAGCGATGCCATTCTGCTAAAGCAGATTTGGCTCATATGTTTTGGGCATGCCCTAGCAAAATAATCTTATGTCAAAAGGAAAAACAAGATTATTTTGCTTACTCCACTGGCAGATTAATTTGCTTGTTTTAAGGTAAAACTCACTTAATATTGGCATATTATTTCTCAAAACAAATTAGAAAATTTTCCTTTATTTAGGATTTTTTTTTAGATATTTGGACTTGAAACTAGACAAAAAATAAAAATAAAAAAAGCATTTTTTGCAGTGCAGTGTAGAATTGTCTTGCACTTTATTAGCACGAAAAAACTGCTAATGTTGAGTTGATAGGGCAGCTGCTAATTGTTTTACTTTTTGATCTCGTTTGGCACCAGTGTAAGAGCTGAAGGCCTGATGCTTTGTTTCATTATGTCTTATAATAATATATTCCTTCATTACTGCAACTGATTCCTGGCAAATTAAACAGATACATTTCCCACTGACCTCTGTGAAGAAATATTCTTTGCTCCAATGTGACTGAAACTTCTTGCACTGACTGTTGATTTTCCTTTTTCTTGGTGCACCAGGGCTCGCCAAAATGTGATTATCAATAATGTTTCCTTCAGTTTGGTCGGTTAGTTTTACATCATAACAAAAAGTGCTGCCCAATGGTGCTGCCTAATTGAAGGAATGTAAAAGCGACACCCGGTGGTTATTTATTGAATTACGTTCATTTTTGTATAGCGGGCCAGATTCTATTAATAGGCTATTTATAAAAAGCCTCGCGGGCCGCCACAAAAAAAAAAAAAAAAAAAAAGAAAAAGAAAAAAAGTAGTTTTGAAAGATCATGTGCAAATTTATTGACAACAATCTAATTGACATACATTTCTGCACGGCTGATTTAAAAAAAACAATATCCTAAATTAATTTCTCAGCATCACCTCACAGATATAATCCATTAACTAGTTTGGAAATCTGAGCACCTGTTACTTCCCGTTTCTTTGGCAACCGTGTTTTTTCATGAAGGGGCAAATGGATGCCCTACAGGACCAGCATTTCTCCATCTTGTGCTTATCCTGTGTTTGCATCCCACAGCCCTTACACAGCTTCATGCCTTTCCCATTCGGGTCTTGGGATTGGCTTTTCTGCTTTATGAGACTCTCCAGGGAAGCCTTAGTACTGGGGTCTGTGCAATGGGCTATTCCAGTCACAGTAATTCTGTTTGGGTCCCAAACACAATCCTCCTCAAGTGCCACAAAAGAGCCAGTGGCAGGTAACCAGGCCGTATCATATCCGTTCTGATGCCATGATGTCCACATGTTAAGACTTTGGCTGTCAATCCTCTTCACTTTACCAACTCTCACTCGCAGCTTTAACACGACTCGGTCATTGGGAGCACATGCTGGGTAACCCATTGCTTTGTTAATGTCTCTACTACAGTAGACTCCGGGGCCCAGAGTTCCCCCAGAAGAGGGACGAAATCCTGTTGATATGATGGCTGGGGCATTGCTTTTGAGAGTCCCGTGGTACATAATGTAGCCATGATTCTTTTTGGGTTCTTGACCTGGCTTAAGGTGCTTTGATTTATCACAATATGCCTCCCATCCACTGAATTCCACCGGCATTTTTGCAATTGTCCGACGATTTAAGAAGCCAGTAACCTTTGGATGCTCCGTTCAGAGACTGCGGTTCCTACACAACACAAAACATTACTGGATTTAAAGTCAAATTAAAAGTAAAAATGCATTGAGCTGTTGTCCATGAGTTATAATGAAGTTGCTTTATGATAAAGTTGGGATTATTTTAGAGCAATAACAACAGGCAAGTACAACAGATAGAAATACAAACAGAAGGACAGCACAAACAATACAAATATTACATTTTTGCATCAAGAAAAATATGACAATTTTAAAGAAATATTCACATTGTGAAGCAAAAGAAAGACAACGAGAAAGAAAAAGTAGAAACAATAAAAAATAAATAAAATAAGAGAGGGCACATGAAAAATAATACAAATTAATGCAGAATATTAAACGAAGCACATGCTTTATACATTTTAACTGCATTCTTGTTATGAGACTCTGTAATGGTTTTCAAGTATAGTTCAAATTCTCGTTTAAAAAACACAACATTTGGTTTACGTGGAGTATAGTTACACTTATGTATAAAAAAAACTTCCAATAAATAAAATGAGGTTACTTGAATTAAGGAATTGTTTTTCTTTAATGTAAAACTTCAAAATAATATGTCTATAGCTTTAAGAAAAATCACCACAAACCTTTTAGACAATTAGAGTGTTCACATCAGAGACAAACTTAACAAAGGAACATTCCCAAAATAGTTGGGAATAATTTGTTCTAAAGTGTTTTATAAAATAAGTGTTGAATAAAAATCTAACTGTTGAGTATAAAACCTCAAAATAACCTTAAAAGCAGTTAGACGAGAAGAGTATAATTCCCACACTGCTCAACCACGATTATGTTCTCAGTTTTTTATTACTGAAAATAAATATTTCTGCCATGTCAGTTTATTAAGATCATCTGTTTAATTGGCAGCAAAAACAATAATGCTCAGTATCTCGGAGGACGCCGAGCTGATATAACACGAATCTACACTTCCGTTTAAAAATGTAGTTTTACAAAGCCAGCATTGCCATTTATACCATGTTTTAGCTGCAGCACATTTATATTAAATTAAGATAAAAAAAAATCCACCAACCTTTGTGTTGTCACTGTGCCTAAACTTAAACAGAGAACGCCACTTTTACTTCCTTGATGACGTAACACAAAACACTTTCGCTTTCATTTTAATCACAGATTGTGGCTATATGCATATCATATTATACCAAACAGGCTTCTTGTATAAAGTTGTAATTTTTCGACATTCTAAATGTGCTTTAAGCGATGAATAAATGTTACCTATATTGTCCTACAAGTCCCCGAACATTGAGATAATTGTAAACACACTGGGACGTCAGTCAGTCGTGTAAAAGTGGGCGTGAATCGCGATCAGGTGCTTTGGCTGGCCAATCGGAGGGCTTTTGAGAAGCTTTCTGCCTGTCAATCATTTATCCACCCGCCTAAGCAAGTCCAAAAATGGGCAGCCGGAAGCCTGAAGCGCGAACCATAAAGATGCAGAGACCAAAATGCAACAGCTGCTGGGAAAAAAAGACGAGGTTGAACATTTTACAGTCTCTGGGCTGAACATGGGAGCAACTGAAACAGAACAGGAAAACCTCTGCTTGAAAATAGACGTTGAGTACCTGCTTCACAGGTAATGTTGGAACGAAGAATTAATTAATTAGTCAATCAAGTTTAGTCCTTCTTTATCTGTAAACTAGCCACTAAGTTGCCTCACCTGCGTCTGAAATCAGATTCATTGACTATGAAGGCCTCCTAACGTTACTTTAGTTTGCAACCACTTTAAATCCACACAAGATGCTCAGCTAAAATTATTGTAACGTTAGTAACTTTCCTTAAACTGTAAACAAATTCAAGTCTAATTCTAACCATTAGGCCACATTGCCCCTTTAGTATTAATGTAATAATCTCCGTGTATAAAAGTCAGCATGTTGTCAATAAGTGACTACTGCTTCGCCATGATCTTGTGGTGAAATGTCAATTGTTCTTAATTTTTCCCATATTTATGTTTTTGCCCTCTATATATTAGGAACATTTGTGATTTTGGACACTGCTCTAGTCTAGACTTTTTTGCATTTTTATTTAAACATAAGGTGGCTCGCTTTTTTGTTGTTGAGGAAATAGCCATCTGATTGGCGTAAAATATCCAACCACAGTTCATTTATTTCAACTATAACAGATGTCAACATTAGTTTAAAGTAAAATGATCTTTCTCAAACTACATTGTAGTCTTGTTAACTTATCGCTAGCTGTTTTTGTCATTATCTGATTACTGACCAAAAACAACAAATTCTGTTGTTTAATATGTTGGTTTATTTTATTCCATGAATGAAACAAGGGCAGAAACAACAGTGACAGACATGATTAAAGATACATTTTCTGATGGCATTCAGAAGATGGCATCGATACCTTTTCAAAACAACTGATCAAAATGGAACTATTTCGCAAGCTAATGTATTTTTGTTTTCACACACGCATTAAATAATGTACTAGGTGAACAGACTAAAACATTTATAAGCATTTTGTGTGTGCTGGAAAAAACATAACTGTGCAAATACATTATGGAATTGATTTACTTGCTTACTTTACATACAAATGCTTATACAGAGTAATGACAAAAAAAATTGTATTATGCGTTTCACTGAATGGACTGATGGCACAGTCACATTATTAACATTATTGTCAAAAAAGGATGTTTGGAAACTTTTCTAAGTAGCAATACATATGTTTGACAACTTTAGCCTTTTTCAACACTGTTTGTATCAGTCAAGAACCTAAAAAACTCTTTAACTTAATGCACACTCGACATGTGCTTGGCTAGACACGAAAAAGGTGTAAAGTAATCAATACCATCATAGAGGCAGCAACTGGTACTTACTTTATAGTAAAGGCAGAGCACGTAGATCGAAAAGCAGTTCTAAAAGTACTCAAATATGCTGAGAAATCTAAAGTAACACTCTGCTGTATATACTGCAACAGATTGTGTATTAAAAAGCTTCCCATAGTTGTATAATGCACACAGGGAGCAGAAGACTGAGCCAAGGATAACCTAGCAGAAACACGCTGATGGCAGAGCAGGGCTCGATACTGCCTGGAAATCAAAAACAAATTCAGGGTTAGACAGAGAATATTTTAATTCAAGATTTATATAGTGATGCTGTAAGGATTGATCTCAGCTGCTGTACCTAATTCGACAAATAGCGTCCTCTGGACCTTAGTTACTTTGCAAATGAACGTTGTATTCTCAGCGATGGTGAAGCTCATAATGGTGAGCCTGAAGCCGTATGGTTCAAGTTCTGTCACAAAGGTGTTGTGCCGAAATCTGGGTTCAGGCATGATTCCAGAAATGTTGGTGTTTATGATGATCTCCTTTTGGCCTTTGGACATGGAGAACTCAAAGTCCGTGTGGAAGCTGTGTTTGGGCTCCAGAGGGCAGTCCACTCTGAGGTCATTATCCTCCTCTTGACAGACTGTCATGATGCTCTCGTCATCCTGACACAGCGCTGGGGTCATCAGAACTGAAGATGAGATATAAAGGAGTCTGTTATTTAGATAGTTGATGTGTCTGGCTGATACTTTTAAAAAGGTTCTTCAAAAGAAAAGTTTCCCAAAAATGCTATTGTGTCATCATTTACTAAGTCCTCTGCCATAACAAACCTGCCCTGTTAACAAATTCCTGGCAGAAGTTCCCAGCAACTTACTGTAAATCCATTACAGCTACAATACTGTATTTACATTTACAGTATTGTTTATCTTGCTCAACACAGTTTTTACAGAATAGTATGTATCTTTACTGTAGAATATACAGCAATTTAAACAATTCAACATTAAAATACATAAAACTGTCATACAACAAAACAGTTCACCTTACAGTTAAATACTTTTTTAATTTACAAAAACAGTAAGTTAACAGTGTGACTATTTTTTGTGATAAAAAAGGGTGAGTTATTGACCAATGACTTGTATTCGATATAACCAAAAGATTTAGAAAAAATAATAAAAAAAAAACATGTTAAATGGAAAATAGGTTCAAAGATAAAAAAGATGAGTTTGCACACAACAAAACAATAGCATATAGCTTTTAAAATCAAAGTATTCTTATAGTATATAGATTTTACAAACGATAAACTTTTTATTCCTAAAAATCTTAATAAATAAATTGATGACATATTAAAAGACTATCTAGGCATCATCAGCCGCAAAATGCGAATAATTTTTATTCCAAATCTTTATACTTACAATCAGCAGAATTGACCAAGTGTCAGTAATGTAGTAGACCCTTTTAGAGACATTTTTAAACATTCAAAATATAGTGCAAAAATTAATATTCTCATTTTATTTATATATTTTAATACAGTTCAGACTAATATGTTGTTTAATTTTTACATGAATATGTATCTGTAACACTGAATGACAGCATTACCTTATTTGTTATTTTCCACATATTTTGACATTTTATTTTAAAAAAGAATATGCTCTCTTCTCAAATAAAATTATTTAAAGAAATTGATGTAGAAAACTAAATGGGACATCTCATCTTAAACCTATATATTTATTGTGCTTTTATTCATAGAACTAGAAACAATTATTTAAAAAATATACAGTTTTATTTATAGAATACATAATTACAGGGGAGGAAAATAAGTATTGAACACAGAAAAACTTTTCTCAGAAAACATATTTCTGAAGTTGCCGTTGATTTGAAATTTTTCCCAGATGTTGGTAACAACCATAGAAATCCATATATGCAAAGAAAACAAATATTAGTTTACAAATTAAGTTATGTGTAATAAGACGAAATGAGGCAGGGAAAAAGTATTGAAAACATGAAGAAAGGAAGGTGTAGAAAGTCAGTGAAAGCCCAGAAAGCCGCTGAAATTTCTCAGTAGTTCTTCAGTCTGCCCTTCCTTATTGTGAATTAATATTAGCTGTTTCAGTCTAACATCTACGTTATCAGGATGATCACCTGACTTGAATCCAATAGAAATTACAAAATATAGATCAGATTTGATAGACGAGACCTCAAGAATTTTACATTCTGTTGAAGTCTGTGAAAAACTCACAGCTGAGCAATTCATGTGACTTCATTCTCTATATGAGGCGTCTTTAAGCTGCCAGCACCAAAAAAAACTTTTATGTAAAGTATTAAATGCATTTCAGTAGTTCAATACATTCTCTTTGTGTCATTTCATTGTTATTGCACATAACTATTTTTTCCACATTTTTTCAGTTTTGTTTTATTTTTATGATTGTATTGTTTGGATTTTTACCTAAATCTGGTTCAATTCCATGTCAACAGCTCCTTTAGAAATATCATTCCAAGGAAAAAAACATGACATGTTCAATACTTATTTTCTCACTGTACATATTAATTGCTGCCTTGTACTTTTACATGTGTAATGACAATAAAGTAGAATCTAGAAGAGTTATGTTAATTCTATATTTTATGCTATTATCTGATAATTTACATTAGAGTTTAAAATAAAACCGTCACATATGGCAGTAAAAAGAATAAAATTTCGTGAATTGTTTAATGTTAAGATGGTTTCTTATAAGCAATATATATAAAACATATTAATCATCATCTTACCTCCCAGGACAAGAATCCACATTAACATAGAATAAGATGTGTTCATCACAAAACTCTAAGTAGAAAAAGAAAGAACATGGTCAAAACATATAAGCACATGTATTTTTATTATATTTCAATTGTATTATTTCACTACATTATAGCACTGTTGTGTTAAAATAACCAAAATAATTAAGAGGATGCCAGATCATGTGAAGGTCTATATAACCTTCCTGTTTAAAGCAGTGCTCCTTAAACTGTCAGCTTTGCAATAAATATCTAATCTACAAAATCTAAATTCAGATACAGAATAAAATGACTGAGAAGTAAACCGACTGTTAAACAGACCTGCATTTTAAAATGTTTAGACTTCTCCATGTTGACCATCCATCAGACAGTGCTGTAGCTCCACCTAACTGTCCCACACAGCACTTCACCACTGCAGTGAAATGCAGCAACCCCTCCCATCTGTGCTGCGCTCATGCAGTGTTTCAGACCAATACATAGAAGCACACCAGATATACCCATGTTTGTCTAATAATTGTCCATTCACCTACCCACAAAAAAATAAAATACCCCAATGAGAATCACAAAGACCTTCTATGGCCTTCATGAACCCAAAGTCTTTCTTTAAGGCTAAATAGACAGCATGCAACATTTGGCATGCAGTACTCTGACAGGATGTACCTTATTTTTCATATTATAAAAGCTGATCTCTGTGTAATCCTCAGTAACAGGCCAAATCGTATTATGAAATCCTGTGATATTATTCTTTTGTTGCCTGAGCAAGCATGACATCATCTTTTGACATCAGATGTTTACCTTTATGGTTGTGCTGTTTTAATCCCAGGCTGTGATGCTTTTCCTTTGGCATGAAGACCCTTTCCGGTGGTGTATAAAGCTTTAGCCGTGTGAAGAGTGGAGGGGAGAGAGGATGTCTGGTAGGAGAGACGGAAAACGGTTTGTCTCCCCCTTTTGAAAGTACTAGAAAATGCTATTTTGCCAACATTCACCATAGAGTCCCTATATACTTAGAAATGTAGAGCATTTGAGAGTTCAAAAGATCAGCATTTGCTTAAATAAGTCAGATTTTGTAACATTACGAATGTCTTTACTACACTTTAATGCATTTTTAAATGAATTAAATCATTCATTTATTTAAAGATTACATGCACAACCTTTTTTTGTACAGTAGTTTTGTTTAGTACAGTTTTTGTCACAAAATTCAACAAACATCACTTTACAGCATTAATTGTGAACTATCAATTGTATTTAAGAAAATGTCAAAATAATTAATGATTGCTCCTGGTTAGTTTATGAATAAATTAGGGCTGGGCTGATAAACGAAAATTTTATTGAAACGTGATAAACTTTATGTCAATAACAATAATAAGCACTGGACTTTTTTACTCTATATTGATAGAGCCAGTCACACAACAGAAGCATATAACAATGAGAATCTAGAAGTGTGGATATTAGACATGCACCGAATTTTTAGCCCCCAAAAATTATCGGCCACCAAAAATAGGTTATGCTATTTATTGGACACTCTAATTTGTGGCTTCAGTCATTGTTGGGATAGTCTTTTAAATCTGGAAGCATTAAAAACTGATATGGAAATATACACTAGCGGCCAAAAGTTTGGGGTCAGTATTTTTTCAAATGTTGTAAAATAAGCTTATCCTGCTCACCAAGGCTGCATTTATAAATTGTAAAATAGTGAAATGTTTTTGCACTATAAAATAATTGTTCAAAAGTAGTTGTTCAAAAGTAGTCGAAAAAAACTGACCCCAAACTTTTCACTTTAGTGTATATAGTTATTGTTCAATATGGAAAATAATTAATTCAGATTGCATTTTTGCCATACTGCCAAGCTTTAAAATGAATGTATAAACTACTCTGTAAAAAGTGATAACTTAAAACAATTGAGTAAATCCACTGCCGTAAAAGTGACAAGTTAATTTTACTTTAAAAAGTGTACTGTAATTATGTTGTATCTTACAACTGTAAAGTTCACTTACCTTAATTGTTTAGAATTACGTACTAGGCATGGGACAATAACCGATTTTCAAGGTGTACCATGATTCAGAAAAGTCAAGGTTTTAAAACCACCAACATTTTTTGTCATACCGTTCCTACCGTGTATTTAAGTTTTGTTTTTTTAACATTTTTTAACAACCACTTCATTTAGATTTTTAGCCTTTTAACCGCACAATGTTAATGCACAGACACAAATTTAGTTTTGTTTACTTACTGTATTTATTTGTGTTAATTAAACCAAATATAAAGTATTTTTAGAAACATAAGAGCATTTGCACACACCTTGTAGCTCCTAGTTTCTTGCATCTGTGTTTTTTTTCTTCGGGCAGAAAAAAATTCTCTTTCTGTGATTGGTCATGTTTCGCACTTTTTTTTTTTTTTTTTTTTACTGTATCTCGATTTACAGCTAATTAAAAATACTGTATTTTAATGGCACACATTTACTGTCAATGACATGTTTACTGTTCCAAAATATTCTTAATGTTTTGAATTTTTGAGGGGAAATTTGTTTTTTTTTTTAACCCAGAGAATTAAAAAAGATTATATTATAGAGCAGTAATTACAATACCGTGAAACCGTGATATTTTTAACCAAGGTTATCATACCGTCAGAGTCTCATATTGGTCCTTTTACGTACATAGGTTATTTTCTTAATAATGTTAAGGCAATGGGTTTACTTGCTTTTTTAAAGTGAAGTCAACTAAACACAGTGTACTGTTTAGCTGTAAAAGCTCATTGTTAAGTGTTACCATACATTTGTATATACATCATTTTTATATACATTTGTATACCCAATAACCACTTTATTACTCGGCAAACAATTTTGTATTTAATAGACGTCTAATAGACATCTAAACATAGACAGCTGAAAACAAGGCTAAACTTGGTCTGTCAGTGAAAATCTAATAGACGTCTAAGAATAGCCCCAAACTAGACTAGTCGTCATGTAGACACATTAGACAGACTTTATATGTGTAGTCATTCATTTCTGTTAATTTAATGACTAGTCTAGTTTTGGCCTGTTTTTAAATGTCTATTAGTTTTTCACTGACAGCCCCAGTTTAGCCTTGTTTTAGCCAAGACGACTATGTTTAGATGTCTATTATATATCTGCAAAGCATTGCTGGGTAGGTATGTTCTTTAACTGCTTTTTAATAGTCAGCAAATCACATGACATCAGTGCATTTATCCATGTAAACCTGGTCAAAACTATCCACTGAAGTGCAAACTGAGCATCAGAATGCAGAAGAGAGTTGTTTTAAGAGACTTTGAATGTGGCATAGTTGTTGGTGCCAGACAGGCTGGCCTAAGTTTTTCAGAAACTGCTGATCTACTGGGATTTTCACACAGCCATCTCTAGGGTTTTCAGACAGTGGGCTGAAATGAAAAAATATCCAGTCCTGTGTGTGGAAATGCCTTTTTAATGCCAGAGGTCAGAGGAGAATGACAAGACTGGCTCAGATAGACAGTGACTCAAATTATCACTTGCTACAACCCAGATCTGCAGAATATCATCTCTGAATGCTCAACACGTCAAAGCTCAAAGCAGATGAGCACGCTGCTGCCACTCCTGTCAGATATGAACAGAAAACTGAGGCTACGGTTCATACAGGCATACCAAGACTGTATCTCAGTATCTGCAGCTACATTTAGATGGCAGAATTTGTCATAAACAACATGAAAGCCTGAATCCATCCTGCTTTTTTATTCAATGGCTCATCATGCCTAGTGGTGCATTGGTGTGGAGGATCTTTTAGTACCAGCTGAGCATCGTTTAAATGCCACATTCAGATTTGTTGGTCCCTGACAGCTGTCAGTCACTTGGCCCCCTTGCGTTACATTTTTAAGTAAACATTGTGTGCTGTAGTGAACTTTTACTTTGTTACTTTACGCATTTTAATTGGAGGACAAATTAGCATGTAAAAGGCCTTTATTGTCAATTCGTAAGATATATCCAGACACATTCGGGACTGCAAAGATTTCAGTCAATCAGAAGAAGACTGACGCATCTCAAACGCTGTTTCTAGACAGGCGAATATCACACATGACAGTGTTTATTGTTGCTCTTCCTTCCGTGGGGATGAATGATTACTTTCAGAGAGTGACATCTCCAGTGTTTCCTCAGGTGACAAGGTGTGCTTTTTGAAAAGCTGTGACAGCTCATTGCTGAAGTTGAAAATTAATTCCACTGCTTCATTTTGAATTGTTAATCCGCCTCGGCTGATAACAATGCTTGTGGAGTATGAGGAGGATGTTTTACATTTGAAAGGATTTCAAAATAAGCCATGACAACCTGCCCTTCACATCAAATGAAGACATTAATTCAGCGGTAACCATACAAACGTTGCTCATTAATTTATTGCTTGGGACTGCCTACAAATTAAGATGAAAATCCCATATAATTACTAAAATGACACACAGTAACGGACAATACAACAGAGCTGTTTCACAATAATTATACATAAAGTATCACAATATGAATTTTAGAAAAAATAGGAATCTGACTCTACTGTCAGCTGCTTTCTTCATAGTTATAATTGCATTTACAATATAATAATATACATTTAAAAAAGTTGGGTGCTCCGGTTTCCCCCACAAGTTCAAAGACATGCACTACAGGTGAATTGGGTATAGGCTAAATTATCCATAGTGTTTATGTGTGAATAAGTGTGTGTGGGTGTTTCCCAGTGTTAGGTTGCTGCTGGAAGGGCATCCCCTGCTTAAAACAGATGCTGGATAAGTTGGCGGTTCATTCTGCTGTGGTGACCCCTGATTATTAAAGGGATTAAGCCGAAAAGAAAATGAATAAATGAATTACATTTAAAAAAGATTTTTGCTGCTTTTGTTCAAACTACTGATTTAAAATGAGCTGATACAACACAATTCTTAAGATCTTTTTGGAACAACTTAATTGTTTTATGTTCAATCAACATACATTTTTGAAAACAAGTAAGTTAATGTAATAGATTTGCATCTGATTTGAGTTCAGATGCTAAAACCTCTCAGTGTCTTCTGAAATTTCAGTCAAAAATTTACATTTTTCTCAGCCTTCTTTGTTTATGTTGAGTTTTTTTACTTTAAAGGCCATGAAAACAACTTGTTTTTTGCCATAAAAGTGAAATTACTGAACCTACACATAGGAGTCTGATAAAAATCACGTTTTATAAGAAAATTTTAGATGGCATTTGGAGGTTTTTGCATCTGAACTTTACATTTAGTTTCTGTTAAATTACTTTAAAGCATTTTAAATGACTTTACTTAGTTTTTACATCTTTATGTTTTTCCCCACTTATCTTAGTTTGGTTTATCCCGGGTCGATATATTCCATATTCATTATAAAAGCACAGACATATTATCGTTCAAACATTGTACACTGCACTCTCAGAAATAAAGGTACGTGAGCTGTCACTGGGGTGGTACTTTTCCAGAAGATACACATTTGTTGGACCCTTTAGGTACAAATGTGTAGCTTTAAAAAAGGTACCACCCCAGTGACAGCTCTCGTACCTTTATTTCTGAGTGTGCAGTGCAAATCTGAACTGCATGTCCATTAATAAACACCAGAGGGAGATGTTGGACTGTTTACGTTTGGCACGCGTTCGATCGGAGTCCTTTAAATGTATATTCCTAAACACTTAACCAGTCAGACTTTGATAAGTAATCACGCATAAAAGCTGATCAGTAATAGACAGCACTGATGAAACGCAAAGAACTATTGCCAGGCCCCCACTTCTGTTTACTTTGTTCTCCTGTGTGCAGTCGAACTCCGCCAGGAGCTGTGATCCATTAATCGTATTGTCCTTAATCACCGGACGAATCAGACGAGTCGAGCGCAACTTTAAATCACTTGCTGATCAACAGACGTTTTCTAGATACTCTTTAGCCAGGACTAGACTTTTCTGTTTGGTAAAGTTATACGA